CTTCTGTGCATTAATTGAGATATTGTTTCTAGCCCGGGACTATTAAAAGAGGTATTAGTCGCTTGGAAAAACACAAGAGACGGTTTGCTGAACAGAAACGACTCAGCAAAGTGCATCGGGCCATCAAGTTCAGCATTGAAGGCAACAGGATGCCCCTGTAGCCATGACACTCTGCCTTCCCCGAGTTTGAGAGGTATCCCTCAAGGGAGGTGTGAACAGTGCATGTGCTTCAGCTGTTGACAGTTTGCACATACAGGAAAGGAGTCTGTACACCCTAACGTAGACTTGGAAAGCTCTCCTTGTGTTCTCTCACGTCCGTACTGTGACCTAAAAAGGGAACTTGTACAGGAAAAAATAGGCTCTAGCACACAACGTCTGCCACGATACCTGCCTCGACGGCTTCAGGGTACCCAAGTGACAGGTACTGAATGAGAGTACCTGCACTCGGAAACAGCTGTGTGCCACCGGGGGTTTGGATGCTGTTCTGGCTGAGTGAGGTTCTCCGGTTTACCTGAACTGACGCACAGGAATGCTCAGTCCTTAACGCAGGACCTCACGTCACGGCACGCTTAACATCCGTGGCCAGTCTTTTACTGGTACACCTCCTCCTTCAGGAAGTGGAGTGATGTGAGACTTAAGGCGTTGTTGGCAGGAGGCAGAGAATGAGACCTCTGCAGCCCGGGGGGCGCAGAATCCCCCGCTGTGCATGCGGGGTGGAGTGAGATCGGTCAATGACACACATCAACCTGGGAAATGTTTTGACAATTTCTAGTCTGCATTTCAGTTCTGTGAGCAGGGCTGCCACACACTAACGGTCGCAGGAAGAGGCTCCCACGAATGTTAGATAACGATTGAGTTTAAGCTTCATATTTATTTGTTGAAAAAAAAATTATTTTTTTAAAAATCGCTGTGAAATTCCAGATATAACTTCAGTGAATAGTTTTATGAATAAAGTTTATTTAGAATCAGTGTGTCAGGAGCACCTTCCTCAGTGATGGGAACAAGTGGTGCAGTTTCTAATAGGTGTTTTTTGTCAGATATGAAGTAGCATATTCTGGATATCTCTCTTTCTCCCAGAATTTAAAGGTGTGAAGTTTCCATCGTTTATTGTTTCTGTTGTATAGTTAGGGGAAATTGCTTTCTACTAATTAATTGCTGTGGACTGGAAGCTCCTTGCTGTTTGTCTTCAGTGGCGTTTCTTGAAGAGAATCACAGTATTTAATCTGTGTGAAATAAATGCTGCGTCATCTCAGTTTTTCATTGGCAGTTAAAATACAGAGATGAAATGCAATATCTCTTCTAATAACTTGTATGGTCAGCTTAGGTATTTCTTTTGCTTTGTCCTGCACCCCCTTTTTCCCCAGTAATCTCTGGCTTTAGAAGCACTAATCGGTGACCTTTGGAATAAATTGTGGTTTGGAATTGATGTGTCAGCTGAGTCCACCTCAGTGACCGTGTATTTGTATCTAAAGCCTTCCCCCCACAGGAAGCCTGTACGCGCGACACCGTAGCGCGGTGTGTTCCCGGCGCTGAACTCAGCCCGTGTAGACCCAGAGCTGTTCCAGACTGTCTGTGCACGGCTAACAGGGTCATTAATCCCTGTGATGTGAAAGCTTTACTGTGAGGCGTGTGAGCACGACTACCTCCGTCGTATGAATATAGTGGGGGAACCACCTTATCCACTGTGCGGGGAGAGGATGCGCGCGTGCACACACACCCCCAGCTGGAACCGGTGGCTTTGTCAGCTCCCTCCTGCAGGCTTAACCTTGCATGCATCGCTTTTCTTCAACCTCTGGGACGTCTGCTTTTTTTTCAGCGGTAATTATTAGTTTTATTTTTTAAGTTCCAGGGGACCTCTAAGAAAGGGGTGAGTCGACTGGACAAACAGATGCGGAAATTCACAGATATCAGGAAAAAAAGCAGATCGGCCCATGCAGTGAAAATCAGCATTGAGGGTAATAAGATGCCATTGTGACCCTTCCCAGAACACCCCATGATCTCTGCTGTAAGACACCCATAGACTCTGTGGAGACCTTGACATTTTTTTAACAAATTGTTTGGGTTTTTTTAGTGAAATCTTTAAATTGTTGGTTCACGTTCTGGTATAAGATGTTGTATGAGGACTGTGAATATGAGGACTTCTTTCTCCTGATTGTATTTAAACTGGCTCTGTTGTGCCCTTTGTACAGATCACGTATTTGTTGTATTGCAACACTTTAGACAATAAAACATCTTCTGTTTTTTGGGGGGGCTGTCTGTTGATTGCTGAACAGAACGTATGCGGGGACTGCCTGGTATGTGGAAAAGCTGCTAATTGTTAATTTTCTGTTTACCATTGTCCATTTCCTCTTTATCAGTGCTTTATTAATCAGTTGCTCTGTCTTTGGAGAGCTACATGTGTTGGTTTTGATTAGAAGTACTGACCATCTTCCACTTGAAGGATTTCATTTTTCACGGAAGCAGGATGTAAAGTTTGGGAGACCAGCAGCCCAACCACTCGACATTCCAGCGGCTTCCAGCGAAAACGCGTGACGTCAGACAGCGGGATTTCCCTACTGCCGATCTGCAAGCGAGCGGCAAAGCCGCCAACGGTGACTGCTCCTGGGGAGCAGAGGGCTGCAGCTAAGGGCGTCACTGTGACGTGTGGTGGCACAGGTTATTTTGAAGCAAGCCAGACTTTGGAGTCGGGGTTAGTGAGACTGCTCAGGCAGACTGAATATCAGATTGCTGGACCCTTCTCTTCCGGGCGCTTTATCCAGCGCTTGGAGGGGCTGGCTGGAGCCTTCGCAGCAGGGCTTGATCCTGCTGTGACTTTGTTGTGTAGAGCTGAAAGCCATGTGAATTTTTTTTTATTTGCTTTGGTGTTTGGGTAGCTCACATGTGTGGTGCTCAGTAGCCCACTAGTGACTTTTTGTAAGGTTTACTGTGCCAGTGGCAAGGAGGAGGTTTCTGTCTCAGCACTGGGGAGATAGTGCTGCTGTTTCTGTCTCCCTGGTGCTACAGAGAAGCAGCAGCGTGGCATTTTGTACCTCTGCTTCTTCACCCCTACCTCCGAAAATGTTTGTGTCTGCTGAGCATGCCTACAGGAGAGGGGATAACTGGCAGTTGGGATTTCAGTGACAGGTGCCCGTGTTCTGTAATTCTGTGAACCTCAGGGTAGAGTTCGTGGTGTTGGCTGAGAGGCACGGGTAATGGAGAGAGTGTAAGTATGGGGATGGTCACAGTTTAAACATGCTCCTGTGGGACCAGAGGGAAGTGATGGGAAAAAGCTGTGCGCTGGGATGCAAAAATCGGAGGAGGCTGCCTGCGCTGGGTGGAGGCGTTCTGCTCCGGCCAGGTATGCTTATGACACAGTAACCAGCGCCAGGCGTGTGTGCTTTTTGCCTGCCGAGCGTTTCAAGGGTCTGGGGCTTTTTCCCTGGGTTGAATGAAGAATTTGTTGAAAGCCAGGGAATTCTGTACTGCCATGTTGGCAGGTGCAGCTGTGTGAAAAACAAGTGCATGGTGTCGAGCCGCTCATACCCAGGTTCCCTTTGGCCCTGAAGGCCCATGGTCAGGATGGGCTTCCCCCCTTTCACGCCTTGTTTTGTAGCTGGGGGGAGGCTCTGGGCTGCTGCTAAATCCTGATGGATGGTTCCTTCGGGTGCTGACCCTGGTGGGCTTGCGCAGTCCTCACATAGCGTCTTACCATCAAAATTAATCATCATAGCAGCGTGTTCGCTAGAGGCAAAAAGGTTCTGGCTGTTGTGGCATGTAACAATGGATTTTTTTTACAGGGCTTTGAACAAAGCTGAGGAGGAAGACCACTCATCTGTGTGAGTATTTTTTTTTTTTTTTTTTAATAAAACTGAATTGTAAGAAAGATCGCAAAATCAAAACTTTTGTCACGGGTCAGAAAGACCACCTAGTAATTGTAGCAGAGGCGGGTGATGCTACAAAGCTGGCAATGTGAGTACTCAAAGGGGATAGCTAGTTGTGGGGATACTAGTCACCGGTGTCAGGTCACTGGCAGTGTTGGCATTGACACTGTGTGGGGTGGGGGCAGCTGACCTCTTGGCAGGATGACTGGGCACACAGGATCAAGCATCATGTTTTAGGATGACAGAAAAGGGTGTGGTTTTTTTTTCCCCCATCAAGTGTGTTCACAAGCATTTCGTGTCTCAATTACTGGTTTTCATCAAAAACTGGGAGTGGTAAATTGTGTACGTGAGGGCGTGGGGGGTGTTGTCAGAATAAAGCAAAGGGTTTTCTTGGGGGGGGGGTTGGAATGTAGAAAACGGGCAATTCTGCTATTTGCTGCTTCCACAGCGCTGTGTTTTGCAGTTCCACGTCTGTAGTACGCGGCCCGGAGCGGGCGGCCCGTCTCCTCGCTGCTGCTGGTGCAGAGCTGTGCCCCGCACTAACGGCTTTCTGCCGGCAGCCTGCCATCCACGCCTTCCATGCTTCTCCAGCTGCAGCCCGGTGGATTCCCTCGGGGTTTATCTGGTGCAGATGGGACTACATGATGCCATAAGGATGTTGGCTTTGTGTCAGAAAACAGGAGTATTTTAGCAAACTGAATCATTCTTGAGGTAACAGTTGTACTCTGTGACAAAAAGCTGACGGCTCCCTCCCGGCTGTGTCCAGCTGCAGGACTGGCAGGACTACACCCCCGCCCGCCCTTGGAGCGGGGGGCC